TGTCCACTCACAGGATGAGTTGGCGCTGCCCAATACTGTCACTATGGCGGTGTGTCCACTCACAGGATGAGTGGCGCTGCCCAATACTGTCACTATGGGGTGTGTCCACTCACAAGATGAGTGGCGCTGCCCAATACTGTCACTATGGCGGTGTGTGTCCACCTCACAGGATGAGTGGCGCTGCCCACTACTGTCACTATGGCGGGTGTGTCCCACTCACAGGATGAGTGGCGCTGCCCAATACTGTCACTATGGCGGTGTGTCCACTCACAGGATGAGTGGCGCTGCCCAATACTGTCACTATGGCGGTGTGTCCACTCACAGGATTAGTGGTGCTGCCCAATACTGTCAATAACTAGGTGGTGTGTCCACTCACAGGATGAGTGGCGCTGCCCAATACTGTCACTATGGCGGTGGTGTCCACTCGCAGGATGAGTGGCGCTGCCCAATACTGTCACTATGGCGGTGTGTCCACTCACAGGATGAGTGGCGCTGCCCAATACTGTCACTATGGTGGTGTGTCCACTCAGGATGAGTGGTGCTGTCCAATACTGTCACTATGGTGGTGTGTCCACTCAGGATGAGTGGTGCTGCCCAATACTGTCACTATGGCGGTGTGTCCACTCACAGGATGAGTGGCGCTGCCCAATACTGTCACTATGGAAGTGTCCACTCACAGGATGAGTGACGCTGCCCAATACTGTCACTATGGCGGTGTGTCCACTCGCAGGATGAGTGACGCTGCCCAATACTGTCACTATGGCGATGTGTCCACTCACAGGATGAGTGGCGCTGCCCAATACTGTCACTATGGCGGTGTGTCCACTCACAGGATGAGTGACGCTGCCCAATACTGTCACTATGGCGGTGTGTCCACTCACAGGATGAGTGACGCTGCCCAATACTGTCACTATGGCGGGTGTGTCCACTCACAGGATGAGTGGCGCTGCCCAATACTGTCACTATGGCGGTATGTCCACTCACAGGATGAGTGACGCTGCCCAATACTGTCACTATGGCGGTGTGTCCACTCACAGGATGAGTGACGCTGCCCAATACTGTCCACTATGGCGGTGTGTTCACTCACACGGATGAGTGACGCTGCCCAATACTGTCACTATGGAGGTGTGTCCACTCACAGGATGAGTGACGCTGCACAATACTGTCACTATGGCGGTGTGTCCACTCACAGGATGAGTGGCGCTGCCCAATACTGTCACTATGGCGGTGGTGTCCACTCACAGGATGAGTGGCGCTGCCCAATACTGTCACTATGGCGTCCCGGCGGTGTGTCCACTCACAGGATGAGTGGCGCTGCCCAATACTGTCACTATGGCGTTGTGTCCACTCACAGGATGAGTGGCGCTGCCCAATACTGTCATATGGCGGTGTGTTCACTCACAGGATGCGTGGCGCTGCCCAAAACTGTCACTATGGCGGTGTGTCCACTCACAGGATGAGTGGCGCTGCCCAATACTGTCACTATGGCGGTGTGTGGAATGATGGGCTCCTGGTAGGCATTTGGCTGGGATCTGGGTAAGAATTTAGGTCGTAGGTTGGTCGTAGGGAGCCGGTCGGCCGAGCGGACAGCACGCTGGACTTGTGATCCTGTGGTCCCGGGCTCGATCCCAGGCGCCGGCGAGAAACAATGGGCAGAGTTTCTTTCACCCTATGCCCCTGTTACCTAGCAGTAAAATAGGTACCTGGGTGTTAGTCAGCTGTCACGGGCTGCTTCCTGGGGGTGGAGGCCTGGTCGAGGACCGGGCCGCGGGGACACTAAAAAGCCCCGAAATCATCTCAAGATAACCTCAAGAAATAACATGGTTGAAGAATGGTCCAGGACGGACCGAAACGTCGTCGTCCCTTCACCTTCTAGTGTGTGGTCTGGTCAACTCGTGTTCTCATTCATATGGCGAATGTTCTCTGTGCAGGCGATGAGTCACAATAACGTGGCTGAAGTATGTTGACCAGACCACACACTAGAAGTTGAAGGGACGACGACGTTTCGGTCCGTCCTGGACCATTCTCAAGTCGATTCAAATCGATTCAAATCGACTTGAGAATGGTCCAGGACGGACCGAAACGTCGTCGTCCCTTCACCTTCTAGTGTGTGGTCTGGTCAACATGATGTTCTCTGTTGTATTGCGGTAAGATTTTCTTGCCTATTTTTGTCCACTGTTGCCCTGAATACAGACCTTTTATGGCGGTTCATTAAATTATTTTTGGCTTTTTGTTAGTTAAATAGCCTTCCCAGCTTGGTACTTTTGGCAACTGTATACTCCAGCTGTGTCTAGCTTTGGCCAAAAAAGCCTGTTGTAATTATTTAATTAGACAAGAGTAATGAGGGATGATTATCACGTACAATTAATGTCTAGCTTGAGCGCTTGTGCACTTTGATTAGAAAGATTGTACCTAAATGGTGGGGATTGTGTAAGCTCTATTACAGTCATTCGTGAGTTCATCTGGACAAAATGACATAATGGCCTGTCCGACAATCAAGCCACTGTTGGGTGAGGGGGATAATTTTAGAGCTTGAGGAGACACAAAAAATTTTTTGTAAACGGTTTGGCTTTCTACACGAATGCTTAATATATAAACTGAAAGAGTTTATACAGAATATACACATAGCAGAGTACACACACACACACACACCAGGAAGCAGCCCGTGACAGCTGACTAACTCCCAGGTACCTATTTACTGCTAGGTAACAGGGGCATTCAGGGTGAAAGAAACTTTGGCCATTTGTTTCTTCCTCGTGCGGGAATCGAACCCGCGCCACAGAATTACGAGTCCTGCGCGCTATCCACCAGGCTACCAGGCCCCGAAGCTGTGGAGAGGTGGGAGTGCGTGTCCAAGATACAGCCAGCAGCATTTCCTCTCTGGATCGCGACACTGAGGTGCAGGAACTTCACAAAAGACCCAAACACTGGCCGCTCTTGGGTCTCTGATTTGTCTAATGAGTTTCTCACCCACTTAGTTCAGGAACTTAAGTGCACATTGAATGACCCATTTTGGTGCCAGTCCAAGACGAGGTTGTTAACCGGGTCCTAAGATTGAGTAGTTGTCTCTACCGCGATGGGTTTACAGGAAAAGGGAAGGGAGTAGTCAGGAGGAAACACTAAGCCAGTTTGACAATATAACACTTGGAAGAGATATGAGGACAAGGAGCTGGGGTATGAGGACAAGGAGCTGGCATATGAGGACATGGAGCTGGGATATGAGGACAAGGAGCTGGGATATGAGGACAAGGAGCTGGGATATGAGTACAAGAATCTGGGATATGAGGACAAGAATCTGGGATATGAGGACAAGGAGCTGGGATATGAGGACAAGGAGCTGGGATATGAGGACAAGGAGCTGGGATATGAGTACAAGAATCTGGGATATGAGGACAAGGAGCTGGGATATGAAGACAAGGAGCTGGGATATGAGGACAAGGAGCTGGGAAATGAAGACAAGAATCTGGGATATGAGGACAAGGAACTGGAATTGGACGGAGAAAAAGAATAGTGTCTAACCACTTGGAGCGTATAGATAGAACGCCGACCATGCAAGAAGCAAAGCCGTCGCTGTCCCAACCAGTTTGCGGGTTGCCAGAGCCGGACTCTCGTAAAAACTGTGAATTGGATAATTACCCAAACAAAGGCTGCTGTTTATCGTGACCTTTGGATCACTTCAAGGTAAATAATGATGTTGATATCTTGGTGTATTCCGCCCTGTTCTCTTATCTACTACGTCGCATTTTGGACGGAATGTACCAGTCCGCCGGTCGCGGATTGGTACATTCCATGGGGAGCCGGTCGGCCGAGCGGACAGCACGCTGGACTTGTGATCCTGTGGTCCTGGGTTCGATCCCAGGCGCCGGCGAGAAACAATGGGCAGAGTTTCTTTCACCCTATGCCCCTGTTACGTAGCAGTAAAATAGGTACCTGGGTGTTAGTCAACTGTCACGGGTTGCTTCCTGGGGGTGGAGGCCTGGTCGAGGACCGGGCCGCGGGGACACTAAAAAGCCCCGAAATCATCTGAAGATTACCTCAAGAAGATCTGTTATCTTAAAGCACATATCTAGGAAACACAAACCGAAACTGTCCCTATTTCCCGCTTGTTACAACTTGTAATAAAGTTGTTACATCTTGGCTTAACGTGTTTATGACGTATTGGAACGTTGTTACAACTTGCTATATTGGTTGTTATAACTGGTTAGGAGGTGTTAAAACTTGTTCCAACGTTGTACCAACGTCGTAGTTTCGGTGTGTGTTTGGCGGGATATAAAGTAACTCACGTTTTCTACGCTTTGATTAGGAAGGTTAGGTTAGGTTAGGTTAGGTTAGGTTAGGTTAAAATTCCTAATATTATAAACCCAACTAATCCTAGCCAATCCTAATCTCACTCAACCCGGTCTCACGATTTACTACGTAAAAAAAGCATCTGGATTAGATAAGCCAATCAACTCTTCTAACCTATTGAGTCCGATGCATAGAAAACGTAAACATGACGATGCTTTTTTTTTAATATTCATAGTCGGTTCCGTTAAAAATACGACCTATTAGATGAGAAGACAGGTTGCCTAACTAACCCTAAAATGGTGCATTAGCTCTGAAAATATAAGTTTGTGTAAGGAATGAATTGACGTTTGTAACAAGGTCTTAATACACTATGTATTAAGTATACACTATGTATTAAGTATACACTATGTATTAAGTATACACTATGTATTAAGTAAACACTATGCAACTTATGGTGATTGTATTAGAATGATACATATGTTGGTTCTATGTAGATCTGTGTATGCTGGCTGTGGTGAAGCCTACATATGTTGGTTGTGGCGAACCCTACATATGTTGGTTGTGGCGAACCCTACATATGCTGGCTGTGGTGAAGCCTACATATGTTGGCTGTGGCGAAGCCTACATATGTTGGTTGTGGTGAGGGCTGCCTAGGAGGCTTCATGAATCAGATAATAGGAAAATAAAGGAAATGATTTGAATATGTTGACCACATGAGGTCAAGTATAACTGAGCATGTTGACCACATGAGGTCAAGTATAGCTGAGCATGTTCACCAGATGAGGTCAAGTATAGCTGAATATGTTGACCACATGAGGTCAAGTATACCTGAGCATGTTGACCACATGAGGTCAAGTATAACTGAGCATGTTGACCACATGAGGTCAAGTATAGCTGAGCATGTTCACCAGATGAGGTCAAGTATAGCTGAATATGTTGACCACATGAGGTCAAGTATACCTGAGCATGTTGACCACATGAGGTCAAGTATACCTGAGTATATTGACCAGATAATGTTGATGTGATATCCAAATTTTATTGCAGATAATTCTTCTCTCATTCCTGGAGGTAGTTTCGAAAATCGTTGTCCCCCCTCCCCCCTCTACGGTACAGTATCTGTACCGTGTATCTTTGCTGTATGGTACAGTATCTGTACCGTGTATCTTGCTGTATGGTACAGTATCTGTACCGTGTATCTTTGCTGTATGGTACAGTATCTGTACCGTGTATCTTGCTGTATGGTACAGTATCTGTACCGTGTATCTTGTTGTATATTACAGTATATTGATCTACGTAATTACTAGCTCCATTTTTTCCCTATTTTTTGCATTCACTAGTATCTTTTTTCCCTATTTTTTGCATTCACTAGTATCTTTTTTCCCTATTTTTTGCATTCACTAGTATCTTTTTTCCCTATTTTTTGCATTCACTAGCATCTTTTTTCCCTACACTTTTTTCCTTGAACTAGCAATTTCCCTGTTTACCACCTCCTAGCATCCTGTCAATCTCAGGTTGATTGCAGGGGGGGGGGGGATGGTGTTGAAGGGAAGCCACGGCAAGATTGACACGGGAGAGGTTATTGCGGGATTGAACTGTGTCTCCAGTGATCCTATATGACGCCTCCTTGGCGCCAGGGTTCTTCCATTCTCTTCTGTCTCCTTCTTATCCCAATTCTCTTTCCTTACACCATTTCTCTTTTTCCTTCCTGCTCCTCACCTCATTTTCATGAGAATTATTCATTCACTCTCAAAAATACATTGTATTATGATGCTAAAATCTTCATCATACAAAATACGTCGTACACTCAATCATTCATTGTATCATACTCATTCTCACAACTTTAGAGGGGAGAAGGAAGACAGGGGGACATGATCACTACATTCAAGATATCGAATATGAAAAGTGTAAAAAAAATATAGCATCATTTAAAGTAAGAAAAGTAGAACAAAATAACATAGATGGAAGCTGGAAACATTACAGAGTTTAGGAGAAATATAATGAAATACTCGACCCCTGTACGTAATAAATGTAGTACATTGTAAGAAGTTGTGAAATCTTCAACTTAAAAACGAGATATAAGAACAGTTCTTGAATTTCAGTTATCTTGAGATGATTTTGGGGCTTTAGTGTCCCCGCGGCCCGGTCCTCGACCAGGCCTCCACCCCCAGGAAGCAGCCCGTGACAGCTGACTAACACCCAGGTACCTATTTAACTGCTCCAAGCTTTGTTAAGCTAAAACAACATACCCTTGAAGGGAAAGGTTAGTGTAGACTGGGTATTAAGAGCTTAAACCTCACTTTCCTCTAGGCAATAATAGGTCAACACTATTAGATAGCTACCACCCCACAAACAGCATAGAAAACGGCAAATGGAATATTTATGTCCTAGAAACAAAATAGGTAACTACATATAGGTGAGTGTATATATAGATATATAGACATATATGCATATAGGTGAGTATATATATAGATTATACAGAGATAAACACATTAAACATGTAGACGAATACAATGATACAATGTGCATCAAATACAATGACTCACAAAAAAACAGGTTCAGACAGAGACCTTTCTCATTAGAGGCTAAAATATAAAATAAAAATACAATAAAATAATCACAAAATGCTCATATTGGAGCGCAGAGTATCGTATTCAGAGACTACAGACTGGGTAGACTGTACCGGGAATATTGAGCTGTAACAAGCGTGGCGGGAATGGCTGATTCAAGTCACGTGACAGGTTGCCAGGTTAGGCACGAGAGCAAGGTCAAAGGTCACTGTTATAACTCTTAAAGCCTTAGTAAGCCGTACTGGTAGGGTGGGTGGTGTGTGGGGGGGCTGGCTAGGGATGTTGGTAACACTGATATCATACGTGATACGGTAAGTATTGAATGTATAGTGTATACATTTACATACTATGCATACTCTGGGTGTATAGTGTAATGTATGTGTAGTGTATTGACCTGAATATCACAGAGTTCTTCAGAAAAGTAATACAGCTGGCAAAGTTATTCAGAATATACAATCTATACACAATCTTGACTATACAGGATCACTACATCCGGGATTTTCCGAAGAGGCGACGAAAGGGTAATTATCAGGAGAATACACTAAGCCGGTATGACTATATAGCACTTGGCTATATAGTCCAGTATGATATCATACTGGACTATATAGCACAGTATGATATCATACTGCGCCTCATGATATCATCATCTAGGCATTCTTTGAAGGGTAATACCCACCCATAGCTAGTATGAAGTTGATATATACTGTATATATATATATATATATATATATATATATATATAGATATATATATATATATTATATATATATATATACATATATATATATATATATATATATATATATATATATATATATATATATATATATATATATATATATATATATATATATATACTATATATATATATATATATATATATATATATATTATATATATATATATATATATATATATATATATATATATATATATATATATATATATATATATATATATATATATATGACAGAACCGGTTACAGTTTTGTATTTTAACCGACACAAACTTCACCTCATTGTGTCAACAAGTTCTCTGAGTCAAAGAACACACACTGAGTCAAAGAATATGGTTTGCCCATATTCCTTGACGACAGAAATATCTATCTAACTCTCTTATCTCTCGCTGCCTCTCTCCCTTTGGGCTGGCGTTGGTTTTCCGGCGCGAACGTGAATGATACGAGAAGTGATCATATCGCCAAGATTTTTCCCAACTTCCTGCCCCCTTAGTGACTGGGGTCTGAAATCCCCACCCGTAGCCTCGTGGCATTTCCCCAGTGGGCATGGGGGCATGCTTGGATCCTCAGGCGTGCCCATACCCACCTATAAGTCTGTTGTTGGTTGGCCCATTTCCCTTGTAGCAAGTGTCCTAATGTGCCCCATACCCTCTTATCCCCCAAGTAGGGGGTAATGTGTATGGGGGGTGCCCACCTACCCTTGCAGGTGTGGAAGTGCCCATACCTCCTCGGGATGTATGTGAATACACCCCATCACCATACAGAGCAGGTGTATAGCAAGGCCCATATATCTGTACAGGTGTTAGGAGGGTGGGTGTCCATACCCCCTTCCCCCCACCCCTGGTATACCGTGACTGGAGAAACAAAGTCAGAACGTCCCACAGGCTCAAGACACCTGTGTCTCCTTGATAACACCTGTGTCACCTTGATAACACCTGTGTCTCCTTCATAACAGGTGTTGTCTCCTTCACAAGACCTGTATGTCCTCCGGAAATAGTGGGGACGCAGTAGGTGGTCCTATTCCCCGGGTTCAGTCCCGGCCTTCCCCCTATCCTCATCCACCCCCCCTTAAACCCCCCTCTTAACCCCCCTTAAACCCCCACCCCCATTTCCCACTTTGTAAACAAACCCTGTGTTTTTCCCTTCGACGTGTGTCATGCATATATCTCGTTATCCTAGTCCAAAATGGCAAAAAAATATATAATTTGCTAGCAAGCTGCTTCTTAAGGGGGGAGGGGGGGGGGTAGGGATGATATCAGCAATCTGCTTCTTCAGGGGGGGTAGGGAAGATATCAGGAATCTGCTTCTTCAGGGGGTGGGGGTGGTAGGGAAGATATCACAATATGGCAGTGCACATTTTGAATACAAATTTGAGTGGTCAATTTTCAACCCATCCTCCTGTTTAGACAATATTTTGTTCTAAATATGTACACCATCGTACATAAATTGACGTACTGGCCAATTAGGTAGCAGAATTTGGTACAATACACCTTAAAGACACTAAAAAAAAAAATATAAATTTAACCCCCCCCCCAACTTAAATATTGCCATTGACTAGTATAGCTCATATATCCACTATATTAGGCTTCATATAGCTCGCATTAGACCAGGATGGTTAAAGTTAGGTTAGAGTATATGTAGCAACGTATATATAATATCTTTATTATATATCTTTATAAGATATATAATATCTTATATTATATCTATAATATCTTTGAATTTGTCTAAATTCAATAGCACCAAATTCTAGTATCTCTGTTTGTCCATTATATACTATATATATATACATTATACATATATATATATATATATATATATATATATATATATATATATATATATATATATATATATATATATATATATTATATATATATATACATATATATATATATATACGACGGTCCCACATAATTACTATAGGTATACTAGTATACTTTAGTATACTTTAGTATACCTTAATCCCTTAATCACTGTCTGAACAGCATGATAGGCTGCAAATGTGTATTATGCGCTAAGCGTTCCATAAATATTACACCATAATATGCCTGCTATAAATACAATTAATATGTATTTTATACTGAAATCGGCGATTATCATTTCAGGGTGTTGCTGGCATACATATTTGTGTGACCAGGCGCGCATAACTGATGTTCTTACGGGTATGGGTGGTTGAGGCATACAAAGTGAAGGGGCGTGAGAACACGGTGTTGCAGGAATACAGGAGCTGTATGCGTATGATGATGGAGAGTTGTGTGTGTGTGTGTGTGTATGTGGTGTGTGTGTGTGTGTGTGTGTGTGTGTGTGTGTGTGTGTGTGTGTGTGTGTGTGTGTGTGTGTGGTGTGTGTGTGTGAGTGTGTGTGCGTGTGTGTGTGTGTGTGTGTGTGTGTGTGTGTGTGTGTGTCGTGTGTGTGTGTGTGTTGTGTGTGTGTGTGTGTGTGTGTGTGTGTGTGTATGTGTGTTGTGTGTGGTGTGTGTGTGTGTGTGTGTGTGTGTGTGTGTATGTGTGTGTATGTGTGTGTGTATGTGTGTGTGTGTATATGTGTGTGTGTGTGTGTGTGTGTGTGTCTGTGTGTGTGTATGTGTGTGTGTGTGTGTGTGTGTGTGGTGTGTGTGTGTGTGTGTGTGTGTGTGTGTGTGTGTGTGTGTATGTGTGTGTGTGTGTGTGGGTGTATACTCACCTAATTGTGCTTGCGGGGGTTGAGCTCTGGCTCTTTGGTCCCGCCTCTGTGTCTGTGTGAGTGTGTGTGTGTGTGTGTGTGTGTGTGTGTGTCTGTGTGTCTGTGTGTGTGTATGTGTGTGTGTGTGTGTGTGTGTGTGTGTATGTGTGTGTGTGTGTGTGTGTGTGTGTGTGTGTGTGTGTTGAAGGCAATGACCCACGATCAAACTTTTCATTATATCTATCTACTGGTGAAATGTAAATGGAGTTCAATTCTACAACCTGCACTCTAGTTCATTCGATTTCCTGATGGGAACGTGAATGTCGAGTTGTTGTTGTTGTTAAAGATTCAGCTTCTAGGAACAAAAAGTTCCAAGTAGCACGGGCTATGGTGAGCCCGTAGTGGAATGTCGAGAGATGTGATTAGCGTGGCGGGTGTAAATGGTTATCAGAACGGAGTATAGCAAGACAGAGGTCACTTTTCCCTAGGACAGGAGCTATCAGGGACAAGCGCCAAGCCACTACGACTATATAGCACTGGGAAGGAATCAGGATAAGGATTTGGGACAGGGGATGGAATGGTGCCGAACCACTTGTGGACGGTCGGGGGATTGAACGCAGACCTGCATGAAGCGAGACCTTAGCTCTACCGTCCAGCCCAAGTGGTTGGTCACTCTTCCGTAGTCACAGATAGAAACACCGATATACACACCTGCATGGGTTCAGAGGCGGCTAATATTGCTGCACAGACACGATTGAACTCTATAGACCCGGCGACAGAGATCAGAATAGCCTTTGATAATAACTTAAGAATTAAGCAAATCACAGAAGGCCAATTGGCTCATCCGAATTAACTCTTGACCACACAAGAATATTGATCTATTATTGACAGGTGAGTGACAGGTGAGAAGACAGACGACACCAACTCCACCCATCACACACTGACAGTTGAGAGGCGGGACTAAAGAGCCAGAGCTCAACCCCCGCAAGCACAAATAGGTGAGCACGTATCAAAACTTTAACTCCATCACCTTCATCGCATCAAGGAAAAAATAAACAGATTTATTTTATAAAATAAACAGATTTATTCTACGAAAAAATAAACAGATTTATTCAAGGAAAAAATAAACAGATTTATTCAAGGAAAAAATAAACAGATTTATTCAAGGAAAAAATAAACAGATTTATTCAAGGAAAAAAATAAACAGATTTATTCAAGGAAAAAATAAACAGATTTATTGAAGGAAAAAATAAACAGATTTATTCAAGGAAAAAATAAACAGATTTATTGAAGGAAAAAATAAACAGATTTATTCAAGGAAAAAATAAACAGATTTATTCAAGGAAAAAATAAACAGATTTATTCAAGGAAAAAATAAACAGATTTATTCAAGGAAAAAATAAACAGATTTATTTTATAAAATAAACAGATTTATTCTACGAAAAAATAAACAGATTTATTCAAGGAAAAAATAAACAGATTTATTCAAGGAAAAAAATAAACTGATTTATTTAACAACCTAAATCTCGTATAATGATTTTTTGATTCAAACGTTTCATTATATACATATTTTTGTCCTGTATTTATCAATGTTGTTTCCCAATATATTAGAAATCCCTGAACGTCCATTTCGTATCACTCACATTAGTTAATTAGATCAATTGTGCAATTGATAAAATGATAGATCAATTACTTTTATTGCTGGTATTTAATTTGCAACAATTGAAATTCCATCTTTATTTTTGTTAACATTTTTAAGTTCAGGATTTTAGTTGAGATTGAATAATGATTTATAATGTATTAGAGAACCTCTTCTGTATTATTTTAATAATAATAATATGTAATAATACTGTTTATATAAGTTTTGGGCCACTGCTTATCTATTTTTTTTAGAGGGGAAACTATTCACATCTCGCAAATGTCATCAATTCTTTTTATCATGTCATGGCACAGTTGATTAAGGCAGCGACTGGGATGCTCTCGGACGTAGGTTCGAACCTTCATCACGGCCCTTGTGGATTTGTTCATCGACAGGCTTGGAGGGAGTTTCAAAAGTCCACCTTACAGCACGGCAGAAATTTAAACTTAATACATTACAAGGTTCTTTCTTCTACAAGAGCAAGGGACTAGTGGGCAGACCAACAGAGCAGAGCAACAGGACCAGGAGGCAGAGCAACAGAGCAGAGCAACAGGACCCGGAGGCAGAGCAACAGAGCAGAGCAACAGGACCCGGAGGCAGAGCAACAGAGCAGAGCAACAGGACCAGGAGGCAGAGCAACAGAGCAGAGCAACAGGACCAGGAGGCAGAGCAACAGGACCAGGAGGCAGAGCAACAGGACCAGGAGGCAGAGCAACAGAGCAGAGTAACAGGACCAGGAGGCAGAGCAACAGAGCAGAGCAACAGGACCAGGAGGCAGAGCAACAGGACCAGGAGGCAGAGCAACAGAGCAGAGCAACAGGACCAGGAGGCAGAGCAACAGAGCAGAGCAACAGGACCAGGAGGCAGAGCAACAGAGCAGAGCAACAGGACCAGGAGGCAGAGCAACAGGACCAGGAGGCAGAGCAACAGGACGAGGAGGCAGAGCAACAGAGCAGAGCAACAGGACCAAGAAGCAGAGCAACAGAGCAGAGCAACAGGACCAAGAAGCAGAGCAACAGAGCAGAGCAACAGGACCAGGAGGCAGAGCAACAGAGCAGAGCAACAGAGCAGAGCATCTCTTCCTCTACTCTTGGATATTCGACCATGCGGAAAGTTTTCCAGCTCTTCCCAGAATTAATCGTTCATCTTCGCCTCCTTCTATACCATTATTACCCGCAAGTTTTTACATTACGGAAACTTGAAAAATTAGCCAAATTCGGGGCTAGAGAGTGATAAGCCAGAGTGCCAGCAAGGTCGGACACCTCAGGCAGATGTCGAAGGGAACTCGACCATAGTGACATTGTCGAAAACTGGTTCCTTGATTCCCTGTCTGTCTGGGCTTAAACACACTAGGTTCTATCTTTTGTATTCCTCTTATCCTTCATTTCTTTCGTTTTTAATTCTTTGGTTTTCTGCGTTCTTCTTTCTCTATATATCCCTCATTTTCTCCCTTGCCTGCTCCTTACTTTATCAGGTATTTCCTTGTCTGGGTCTTCTGGTTATTCTTTCTTATGATTATTTCCGCTTTCATCATTTATCATGGATTTTCTTTTTTCTGAACCAATTATCTTCTTTTCCTGATTTCCTTTTAATTATACTCCCTGTTGCATAGCTTCTTCTCTCTCTCTCTTATCATCAGGTGTCAAAAAAGTTATGTTCTCTCTCTTTCTCTCTCTTTCTCTCTCTGTCTCTCTGTCTCTCTCTCTCTCTCTCTCTCTCTCTCTCTCTCTCTCTCTCTCTCTCTCTCTCTCTCTCTCTCTCTCTCTCTCTCTCTCTCTCTCTCTCTCTCTCACTCTGTCTCTCTCTCTCTCTCTCTCTCTCTCTCTCTCTCTCTCTCTCTCTCTCTCTCTCTCTCTCTCTCTCTCTCTCTCTCTCTCTCTCTCTCTCTCTCTCTCTCGTGACAGCTATTCTGAAAGCTGTCCAAGTCTTGTAATAACCCAGCAAGTGTCCAACACTTCGGAAGCTCTTGTATGCTGTCTATCTGTCTTTCTGACTGTATTTGACTGTCTATCCGCATGTTCTCTGTCTTGATTCTCTGTCTCTATCTTTCTCTCCACCCCAACCGTCTCTCCTCTCTCTTGCTCAACCTGTCTGGAAGTCCCACAGCCAAGAAACTTACTTCAGTATTTCCCTAAAGATTCCCTGGAGGAGTCTTGGACTTGTGTAGTTACCTAATTGTAAATACCTAATTGTTGGCCTATGTAGCTTATATAGAGAGAGCAACTAGGCTAAGTAAGGCAATGATTTTTTGTTGATTTTAGATTGGCAGTTGCGATGTTATTCTGGGGTTCCTTCCTGTATCTCACTTTCTCTCTGTCTCTGTCTCTCTCTCTCTCTCTCTCTCTCTCTCTCTCTCTCTCTCTCTCTCTCTCTCTCTCTCTCTCTCTCTCTCTCTCTCTCTCTATCTTTCCAGTCCCTTACGTAGCTTCTCATTCAGATGCTGGTTGTAGTAGTAGTGGTAGCAGTAATGGTATGGGGTTGTTATTGGCAGTGGTGCTGGTGGTTGTGTTAGTGAGATGGTTAACGGTGGTAGGTTAGATTAGGGTTGGGGTTCGAGGGGCGTAGTGGGGGTTTGGGGGTGGATGTGGAGGGGGAAGAGTAGCTACCACCACTATCACCTCGATAGTCAGCTGTTTTAGCAACCTGGTGCCCTGTCAGCTGTCTTGCGGTATGTTTCCACGCACTCACACACGCACCACACACACACACACACACACACACACAAACACACACACACACACCACACCCACACACCACACACACAAACACACACACACACACACACACGGGGCCTCGTAGCCTGGTGGATAGCGCGCAGGACTCGTAATTCTGTGGCGCGGGTTCGATTCCCGCACGAGGCAGAAACAAATGAGCAAAGTTTCTTTCACCCTGAATGCCCCTGTTACCTAGCAGTAAATAGGTACCTGGGAGTTAGTCAGCTGTCACGGGCTGCTTCCTAGGGTGTGTGTGTGGTGTGGAAAAAAAATAGTAAACAGTTGATTGACAGTTGAGAGGCGGGCCGAAAGAGCAAAGCTCAACCCCCGCAAACACAACTAGTAAACACACAATGTAGATATGATAGATCCCAATAGGCTCAGAAATATGTTCACCGATTGACAGCTGAGAGGAGGGACCAAAGAGCCGAAGCTCAACCCCCGCAAGCACAATTACGTGAGTATACACACACACACACACAAAACATACTCATTTTACCCAAACAAATTTAGGGTATTAAGTACAAGAGGAAGATACATGAGCACTGACCACACTACCAATCACGGCTCCTGGTCAGCTGAAGGAGAGCTTATAATTTTCTCCAAGTGCGGGTTAACAGGCGGGAGCAAGGCGCGGTTTTGGCTACAATTAATAACCTTCGACATGCGTCCCATGAACCCAATATTGGACTGACCTTCAGTGGTATAAAGCAATCTGTACTGAAAGGTGTCAGAAAATGTGTTAGCTCTTGGGCCCCGCCTTTCTAACCGTTGGCAATTTAATGTTGTTACTCCCGAGCTAAATTTCTCTATCATGTCTATGTACACACGAGAGAAGCAGCCTGTAGCAACTGTCTAACACTGTTTGCTGTTAGGTGAAGAAGGGTCATTGGGTGAAAGAAACTCTGCCCCGCCGGGAATCGAACTCGGGTACTGTGGACTGTGGCTCACGAGCGATGTCCGCTTGGATACTGTGCATGTGTGTGTACTAACCTAGTTGTACTCATCTACCTAGTGCTTGTGGAGTTGAGCCCTGGCTCTTTGGGCCCGCCTCAACTGAATTTTTTTTACACACACACACACACACTCACCCATAGCCCATAGCAGATGTCTAACTCCCAGGTACCTATTTACTGCTAGGTGAACAGGTGCATCAGGGTGAAAGAAAA